TTGGAACATTTTAGGAAAATGTTTTCCTAATTTGTTCCAAGAACAATAGAGTGAATTATCTTTTTATTATTTTTTTAAGTTTAGCAAATATTTTCAATTTTTTCATAAGATCTTTATTTGATTTTCCCTTAGTTTATTTGTTTTTTATCAAAATTAGTTTAAGGAAAGGATTGTCGTACTTGATTAGCAAGTTGGCAATTTAAGGGAAAAATCTCTCAATTATTTGTGTTATTTTATTTGCAAAGGTAGTACCTCTGACTCTTAGCCTTTCTGGTTGAAACCATCTATACGATTGGATTCAAGTGGTTTGTGGCTCGAGTAGTCCAATACGCTTGGGTTGTCGTGTATCATTTAGTATCAGAGCTTAGGCTCTAGACTAAGATATATGTTATTTTCTCGCATTTAGATTTCTTGTCTTTGTCTTTACTTTCCCTTATTCGAAAATCTCACAAAAAAAATATCATCCATTGTTCTTGTGTTCCGCATGCCTTTTGATCTATCTATCTTGTATAAGAATTTTTTATTTTGAAAATTTCTTTAAAGTGTATAAAACTTATTTGTTTGTGTTCAGCACCTCAAAAGCTTTCCAACAAGTCAAGTTTCACTTTAACCCGAGTCTCATAGCCAAAGTTATCAATTTTTCTTCGAACCCTAGAATTTGAGAGAAACCTGCAGAGAGCATAAAATCGAGAGCCGAATTAAAAATTTCATAACTTTTTGCTCCGATATCCAAATTGAGTGAAACTAGTGTCATTCGAAAGATCTCTGAGTTAGTTTTCTAGAGAGCTTAGAATCGATAATTTTCAATCTGTGGTTTGGGAGTTATCAAGTATTTCGTCAGTACTGTTTTTTGGAAAATCCTGCAGCCTTCAAGAGAACACAGTCCCAACTTCGATGATTTATATCTCTCTGACCTTTTTATTGTTTATAGTCAAATTAGCTGCCAAATTGAAGATCTTTGAAAGAGCTTTCCAGGGACATACATATCGCAGCCATCTGAGAATTGCAGTGAAAGTTATTGGTGTTAGAAGAGAAGGTGTTCAGGCAGAAAACTTTCAATATTTGAATCTGGACAATTTTGGAGAAAATATTTGGGCCATCAAATTTTGTCCAAATCGATTTCTTTTTGACAAGTAATCCTAATATTGTTTATTCTTTATTTTAAAAATATTTTTGGATTATTTTGAGAACTTTAGATAGCCAAAAAGAAGGAGAACATCCGCCTAGTCCACTGGGCCACCCAAGAGAGGTCTTAGTGCAACCCCAGATTTCTTTTTGAGAGAGCAGCCCCTCCAAACGAATTCAAAACCGTTTGGCAGCTCACACACGATAAGTACACCCATTGTACTTTATTTTGCTACTAGTTTGAGCCCAATCCGAGTCGTACACAGCATGCACCCCTCACCTAAAGTCACCCCTCTTGCGGCAAAGGTTACTGTTTTGTTGGTAAGAATTCTTTTTGTGTGTGTTTGCACTACGAGTAGGATTTTGTACATCTTTTAAAGTTAATTTTTTTTTTCATTGATTTTTATTGTATAGTCTTTCTTTATTGTGCTTTGACTTCAAGTTGTATATTGTTGTCGAGTTCTTAGTACCAAGAGCATTAGGCTCGAGGTAGCATCATATCTTCCCTTGTTTATAGCATCATATCTTCCCTTGTTTATATCTTTGTTTCATTATTCTTGTAATATCATTTGGTATTCGTTTTCTACCATTTGATTCTTGTCTTTGGTA